AGTATGCAACAAAAAAAGGTTCCTAATCGGCCCAATGTTGTTTAATGTCTCTGAAAACACCTTTAGTCCCATTTAGCAACTTGTTAGCAACCTTATTTTTTTATTAAATCTCACAGCTTTAAAAAAAATCACAAGAGGGTGTAAGTGGTGTGTGTTATGCTGTAGAACAAAGCATGAACGTTTGAGTTTATCACATACCTTATTTAACCAATTCAACCACAACACCCATTTAAAAAACCCATTGACTCTGAGATGACAGAACTGGAAGTGCTAAAATGCTAACTAACTTTCAGGTTTTTGCATACAAATTGACATTGTAGTTCTTCCACTTTAATTATCATTTCATCTGATGATCAAGTTTCTTGATTACTTCACCCGAATATGAGCATAGTTAGCCATATCGGCTAATATCAAATGATAGCTAATAGCCATATCGGCTAATATCGATAGTTGGCATAACAAAAATGTTCATTTTCTATCAGTCCTAGTACACAGTACAACTAAAGTAGAGTCAAGCTGTATATAAGAAGATTATCAAAACTCTTTGGTCATTTTTGAATGAGATGCTAATGTTCTAATCCGATTCAGTGATTTATGCTATGCTAAGCTAAAAGTGTTCCTGCTAGACCTGGAGATCGGCTGAATGCATTTACAAATGATAAAACTCAGCTGTTTAACTCTAGCGATAAATTATAAAATGAGTCTATTTACAAAAAAAAAGTGGAGAGTCTCTTCAAATAAATGCCCTAAAAGTGGAGCTTCATCGGTATTGCAGATTATAGATCATCATCGGCTATTTCTGATATCTGAAGATCATATCAGGTCATCACAAGGCATCGCATGTACAAATTAATCTGTATTTCGGACAGTTTACTAAGATAAAGGTTCAAATTAGTTTTAAACCACCATGACTGCACATGTACGGCTATATAAATAATATGCATTAAATATAATAAAATAGATGTAAACAGTATATACATTTACTGTATAAAGATCCCTCACTTTGTATGAGAGTTGTATGGTTAGATATAAAGATACTTATATAATATGAATATTTATATGTGTGTGTATATTTATAGATAGTAAGATATCTGCTTTTATTTGCAAGAATAGAAGCAGTGTATCATATAATATAATAACGACTATGTTTAATATATCCTGGATTCATCTCTAAGTGTGTCTGCAGTGGTGTCGTCACTCACTGGATGAGAAAAGTGTGTGTTTTTTAAAGATTCTCGTGAATATTATCATGTGCATTTGCAGATTGAGGCCTCCCATGCACAGAGAAGTTTCAATAGTTGTCATAACTGGTTTAAAATCAGTGGATTATGTTATGTTTGAATGCCAAATATAAAAGGCGAGTGTGTAGCAAAAAGATTCAAGCGCTTGGTCCTGTGTAAACATCTCCATTTAGCCTACAAAATACTGCAGCGAACGTCGCCTGGCAGTAAGAACAATTCAGAAGGAATAAAATACAAACTCACACTTCACGCGCTGCAGTAAAATAAGTGTTTTCTTCAGTGTTTTTGGCTTGTTTGGCAGTTTTCTGGATTTTGAATCAAGATTACTTTTGATTTTAAGAATGGTAATTACAATTTTATGCTTAAACAAGACAAAATAACAAAAGAAATAACAATTGCTCAGAAAAAATGTGACTTAATTCACACAATTTTGGTTTTGTTACTGGTAAGTATAGCTGATTACTTTAGTCTTGTTTTCTGAAAAAAACAGTTTATGATTTTATGGTTATTCAACAAAACTGAATAACATACTTTAGTCATTGTTTTGTTTTTGTAAAATTACTGAAAAAACGTTAAATAAACCAAATTTTTTATTTATATATATATATATATATATATATATATATATATATATATATATATATATATATATATATATATATATATATATATATATATATATATATATATATATATATATATATATATATATATATATATATATATATATATATATATATATATATATATATATATATATATATATATATATATATATATATATATATATATATATATATATATATATATATATATATATATATATATATATATATATATATATATATATATATATATATATATATATATATATATATATATATATATATATATATATATATATATATATATATATATATATATATATATATATATATATATATATATATATATATATATATATATATATATATATATATATATATATATATATATATATATATATATATATATATATATATATATATATATATATATATATATATATATATATATATATACACATATATATATATACATATATATATGTGTGTGTATGTGTGTGTGTGTGTGTGTGTGTGTATATATATATATACACACACACACACACACTCACCGGCCACTTTATTAGGTACACCTGTCCAACTACTTGTTAATGTAAATTTCTAATAAGCCTCATGGCAGCAACTTAATGCATTTAGGCATTAAAGATGATCTGCTGCAGTTCAAACAGAGCATCAGAATGGGCAAGAAAGGTGATTTAAGTAACTTTGAACGTGGCGTGGTTGTTGGTGCTAAAATCGGGCGGGTCAGAGTATTTCAGAAACTGCTGACCTACTGGGATTTTCTGCGCAAACCATCTCTAGTGGCCACAACTCACACAGGCTCACCAGAATTAGACAATAGAAGATTGGATAAACGTTGACTGGTCTGAAGAGTCTTGATTTCTGCTGCGACATTTGGATGGTCGGGTCAGAATTTAGCATCAGCAAATAATAAAAGCATGGATCCATCCTGCCTTATATCATCAGTTCAGGCTGGTTGTGGTGATATAATGGTGTGGGGGATATTTTCTTGGCACACTTTGGGCCCATTAGTGTCAATTGAGCATCATGTCAACGCCACAACCTGAATATTGAACCATATCCATCCCTTTATTACCACAGTGTACCCATGTTCTGATGGCTACTTCCAGTAGGATAACGCACCATGCCATAAAGCGTGAATCATCTCAAACTGGTTTCTTAAACATGGCAATGAGTTCACTGTACTCAAATGGCCTCCACAGTCACCAATCTTAATCCAATAGAGCACCTTTGAGATGTGGTGGAATGGAAGATTTACATCATAGATGTGCAGCCGACAAATCTGCAGCAACTGCATGATGCTATCATGTCAATATGGAGCAAAATCTCTGAGGAATATTTCCAGTACCTTGTTGAATCTATGCCATGAAGGATTAAGTTCTGAAGGCAAAAGGGGTCCCGACCCGGCACTAGTAATGTGTACCTAATAAAGTGGCCATATATTATTTTAAACATTTATTTATTAGCATTTAAAATAAATATCTCCTAATTTAAGAATATTTTGATTTGTTTACACTGAAGACAAAGCAAAAACACTGGAGTAAATTATTTTTCTGCAGCGTGAAGCCGTCAAGCACTACAAACTCAAGTTCTGATGAACCATGAAAACTGTATAAATATTCCTATTTACAAAGTAAGAACAAGACTCTTTCTTATAAATATACAAAATGCAGTGTAATAAGTTGAATATTCATGTGCACAGGACTCCTGCCCAGGACCATTGATTTCTCACACACACACACACACACACACACACAAACACACACCTACGGTAAGATTAGTACGATTTTCACCTTAAACTTCAAACTATCTTCCACAGATGTGTCCAAACACCAATAAAAGGAAAAATCCATGATCATAACCTTCACTGTACTTACTGTATGACCACTTAAAAACCTTTGACCTGCAAAAAACAGGAGTGTGTTAAAACGCCTTCAACATGCAATTTATAAAATGCTAATCAGCGTGTTCATTAAATATGCAGTCTAATTTGAATAATGAGGTATTCAGCTACCAATAGTGTATTACTCATGGTGGTTTACACTGCAAAAGATGAAGAGATTTTGTCTTGTTTTCCAGTACAACAATCTAAACATTCTTAAATCAAAATCCCTTTTTGCAGTGTAATGCCCTTCACCAAGAGGAAAACCTCCTAAACTTAGTGAAGTTGTGAAGCTCAATGTGTAACTGGATCAGACTTCACATCAGCTCCAGTCCACATTTAAAAACAAAAAAAAAATTGAGATTTTTTTTTTTTGGGGACAACTTAATTGTTTTTAGGTTTAATTGACTTAAATTTGTTAAGTTAACTAAATTTGAGTTGGGCCAACATGAATGTATTGTGTGGAACCCTGCCTCTTTTACAGTGTGTGTGAGCAACGCTTTATAAGAACTGCAAGTTACGTAATCATATAACTTTTCTTAGTAATGACTAAAGTAATGCATTACTTTAAAAAAAATAATATTTTGGTTACTTTTTAAAAATTTTAATGCAAGTTGTTTTAAAATCTGACTCCCCAGACAAATCTGACTCCCCTTCATGTGCGCGCGCTTAAACTCTCTGGGCTCAGGAAGTTCTCAGAAGTTAACGTTATTAACGTTGCTTTCAAAAGTAACTCAAAAGTAACTCAGAAGTAACGTAACGCAGCAAATTACTTTTAAAAGCAACTCAAAAGTAACATAACGCAACTCATTACTTTCGAAAGTAACTCAGAAGTAATACATTATTTTTAAAAGTAACTCAGAAGTAATGTAACATCATGCAATACTTCTGAAGTAACGTAAAGCATTACTTTCAAAAGTAATTCAGAAGTAACGGAACACATTACTTCAAAAGTAATTCAGAAGTAACGTAAAGCATTACTTTCAAAAGTAACTCAGAAGTAACGGAAAGTATTAGTTTCAAAAGTAACTCAGAAGTAACGGAACACATTACTTTCAAAAGTAACTTAGATGTAACAAAAAGCATTACTTTCAAAAGTAACTCAGAAGTAACTTAAACTATTACTTTTAAAAGTAACTCAGAAGTAACGGAACACGTTACTTTCAAAAGTAATTCAGAAGTAACGTAATGCATTACTTTCAAAAGTAACTCTGACGTAACGTAATGCATTACTTTCAAAAGTAATTCAGAAGTAACGTAACACATTACTTTTAAAAGTAACTGAAAATGTAACTCAGAAGTAACTTTCAAAAGTAACTTAGAAGTAACGTAACGCATTACTTTCAAAAGTACCTCAGAAGTAATATAATGCATTATTTTCTTAAGTAACTCAGAGGTAACGTAACGCATTACTTTCCATAAAAAGTAACTGAGCAACTTAACTCAATATTGCATCTTTTACAGTGTGTGTGAGCAACGCTTTACTAGTACTGCAAGTTATGCAATTATATTACTTTACAAATTAACGACTAAAGTAATGCATCACTTCAAAAATGATTAATAATAATACTTTAGTTTCTTTATTAAAAATGTAATGCGAGATGTATCAAAATCTGACTCCCAGGACAAATCTGACTCCCCTTCACGTGCACAAGCTTAAACTCTCTGGGCTCAGGAAGTTCTCAGAAGTTCTCTTTCAAAAGTAACTCAAAAGTAACGTAATACATTGTTTTCTAAAGTAACTCAGAAGTAATGTAACGCATTACTTTCAAAAGTAACTCAGATGTAACATAAAACATTACTTTCCATAAAAAGTAACTGAGCAACTTTACTCAATATTGTAATGCATTACTTTCAAAAGTAACTAAACCCAACACTGTGTGTGAGCCGCTCGGGTTCACTCTAGTCCAAACACACATACACACACACACACACACACACACCTACACACACACAGCTAGAGGCCGGTCAGGTCCACGATGGCTTTGATGAAGATGGTGTCGTCCCGGATATAGGAGTTCTTGCCCTCCAGCTTGGCGAGGGGGCAGAAGAGTGGGCAGCCGCTGGCGATGTTCATCTCGCTGACAGGCCGCTGAAACGAGGAGGACGTGATGTCAGGACGAAAGGCGTCAATGATGTGCTCTCGGTTACTCTGGTCCAACAGCATCAGAGTCACCTGCGCCAACACACACCAAGCATATTTTAGTCAACCAAAGGTGCAAGAATTCTCTATATAAATCAGTGGTTCAAAATCAAATACTTTTGCCAAAGTCCCTTAATGGGAAGTTATTTAACTCTGTGGCCATAATTGAAAAACACTTTCAAAGAAAGCGTTCTTGCAGGACTTCCAGAGTTCATCAAGATTCTTTGGATTCATCTTCAATGCCTCCTCCTGCATCTTACCCCAGACATGCTCAATACTGTTCATATCTGGTGACTGGGCTGGCCAATCCTGACTTTCTTTGCTTTCAGGAGCTTTGATGTAGAGGCTGAAGTATGAGATGAGCGCTATCCTGCTGGAGAATTTGCCCTCTCCTGTGGTTTGTAATGTAATGGGCAGCACAAAAGTCTTGATACCTCAGGCTGTTGATGTTGATCATCCACTCTGCAGATCTCTCACACGCCCCCATACTGAATGTAACCCCAAACCATGATTTCTCCTTCACCAAACTTGACTGATTTCTCTGAAAATCTTGGGTCCATGAGCCTTCCAGTAGGTCTTCTGCAGTATTTGTGATGATTGGGATGCAGATCAACAGATGATTCAGCAGAAAAATCCACCTTCTGCCACTTTTCCAAGTGATCAACTAGAAGTCAAGTTATTATTCCTTGATCTTACTTCTGGGATCCACGACAAGACTTTTGACAGGTAGTGTGTATATTATATATATAGTAGTATGGTATTTATGGTATCTTGGCTCTTCCATGCTGTATTATGGTGTTGTGTAGTGACTTTTATATTGAAGCTTCCAAAAGCATACAAATCTATCGTAAAAATAACCCATATGTTGGGTTAGATGGGTTAACGCATGTCTAATGAAACAGATCAGGGGCCTCATGTATCAACGCTGCGTACGCACAAAAACTTTGCGTACGCCAGGTTTCACGCTCAGAATCGCTCACGTTTGGATTTACTAACAATGAACTGAACGTGGGAATGTGCGCAGCTTCACGGCAGCTTTATGGCTGGCGTACGCACATTTTTTGTGCGTGTCTGTTTTATTTCCATTGGCGACTCCTAGAGGCAGTTGTGTTAAATTCCTCTCTACGAAGTGTCTGAGCCTTGCAATGGCAGCTGTATGAGACGGGTTCATCTAGTAGGTATGTAAGGTTTCCATACCATGTAGTTGACCAGCCAAACATTAAAGCACAATTTGCAGCGGTCGCCTGTTTTCCCAATGTAATCTGAGCTATCTACTGCACGCACATTGCTATAAAGACACTATCTGAAGATGAATTTGCATGCGTGAATCAGAAACATTTCCATTCAATAAATGTGCAAATAAAATATGATGCACAGACTTATTAATGATTCCTACTTGTCTTTCTTGTGATAAATAGTAGGCAAAATCTGATATGTAGCGGGGAAAAAAAGAAGAAAGAGTTCATCAGACGCTGGATTCGAACCGAGTTTATGCTCGATCGTGTCATTACATGATCACATGCGTCTAACGAGCTGCGCCACTGAGACTGCTAAGGGTACCGCAACATTTTACAGATATAAACCACACTATTTCTATTTATAATGCATTCAGTGCGATGTTCAGACCCAACTGTGTTAACCGCATCAGCTTAACTCTCCCACTTTATTTTTTTTCTTTTGTTGTTAATTCCGGAGAACAAACTTGCAAATAACACCGCTTTTCTCCGGTCTACCTCCGAAAGCAGCACCTCCAATTCATATTCTGTTCAAAGTTTCTCTTCTTGCTTGATTTTGCCATTGCTTTTTCGTTGGGTTTTTCCATTAGCATAGTCATTAGCATATTCATACAGGGGAGGAGGCAGGGAGGGGTTTTGCGCTCGTGCATGTTGCGCTCAGTTTCACGTTCATTCAGATGTACAAAAGAATATGCGTGAGATTCGGCGTACGCAGTGTTTCATACATCTGAATTTTTTTCTGCGTACACACATTTACAGCTTTGTACGTACGCAATGTTTTAGTAAGATTTCCACCCAAGTCTTCGTACATGAGGCCCCAGATGTTTTTGTAACAACATTTTAATTATAGCCATATCACCCTGCAGCCCAAGACCAGTTACTCACTAAAGCTAAGCAGGGCTGAGCCTGGTCAGTACCTGGATGGGAGACCACTAGGGAACACTAGGTTGCTGTTGGAAGTGGTGTAGGTGAGGCCAGCAGGGGGCGCTCAACCTGTGGTCTATGTGAGTCCTAATGCCCCAGTAAAAGTGAAGGGGACACTACACTGTCAGTGAGTGCCGTCTTTCGGATGAGACGTTAAAACGAGGTCATGACTCTCTGTGGTCATTAAAAATCCCATGGCACTACTCTTGAAAGAGCAGGGGTGTAACCCCGGTGTCCTGGCCAAAGTCCCTCTATCGGCCTTTACGATCAAGGCCTCCCAATCATCCCTTTCCACCGAATTGGCTCTATCATTCTCTCTCCACTCCACCAATAGCTGGTGTGTGGTGAGCGCACTGGCGCCATTGTCCTGTGGCTGCTGTCGCATCATCCAAGTGGATGCTGCACACTGGTGGTGGTGTGGAGAGACCCCCCTCATGATTGTGAAGCGCTTTGGGTGTATGGCCATACACAATAAATGCGCTATATACAGTAAATACACATTACATTACATTACAATTATAAGCTCCAATCACCGACTTGTAATTTAATTGAAGTTTATTTATAAACTAATTTCGAGAGGATCACGTGCTTATGATTGCTTGCGGCTGGTCCCGCATTATCCAGTTTATGATATACCAATCAGACGATTCCTAAGCCACTATAAGTGCCCTAGGTTTCAAACCACAGACATCTTCCCCCTCCACTCCAACTCCTCCTCCTTTTCTAGATGGGTGGCACGGTGGCCTAGTGGTTAGCACTGTCGCCTCACAGCAAGAAAGTCTTTGGTTTTGGTCATTAACAAAACCAGCAGACGTTTCTGTGCAGAGTTTACACATTCTCCCCGTGCTCGCGTGGGTTTCCCCTGGGTTCCCCGATTTCCTCCCACCATCCAAAAACATGCAACTTAAGTTAACTGACTAATCCAAATCAGCACCATAGACATGCACTTAACAAGTAGTTATCTCTTAAGAGCAATCACTATCTGTTCATTAGCTACTACAGCAGGGGAGTTCTCGAGTTCTACCTGAGCTCAA